CTCAGCCAATACGACTAAATGGAGCAGGTCCAATTGTTCACTGCTGATACAAATGATAAGGCGGTAAAAGAGATTTGAAAAAAAAAGAAAAAAAAAACCTGAATGTATCGCTCAATCTCCGAATCGCTAACATCGCAGAATAATACAGCAATAAACGAAATACTCAAAAGCACATCGAGTTTCGTGTTCACAACTTCCTCCGATGTTTCCGGAATATGAGCAGTTGCTTGCAATAAACTTCTGAAACCAACCAAACTAAATAAAAAAAGAAAAAACGTTTTAGCTCGAATGGTTTCACAGACTGACACAATATATACCGAGTGAAACCAGCAATTTCATTAAAAGGCGATTCGCACGAAATCAGCCAAACCCATCGTAGTGATACTACTGGTTTAGCCCCAAACGTTAAACATAATTGTGCCAGTTCCTTCGATTCTAAGCTGCAAGTCAGCAGTTAATTTCCCCCCCCCCCCTCACCCCGCTCCTCTTCACAGGCTATCTAAGTGGTTGCTCGCTTTTCGGCGAGCGCTTTAAAACCCGGGCCTATTGGATGTCGGTAAAACGAGCAAATATGTCTTGCCCACAGAATTTTACTTTTTTGTGTGGCCGCATTGGTACCCAAAATATTGCTATCGAACAAAGAGTCTGACTGTTTCTACAAATAACAAGAGACATGCCAAGCACTGCTCGCTCGGTAACTCTAGCCGTCACAACTCGCGCCCACTATCCTGCTGCCTTCATCAGTGATCACATTCAGCATCAGCGTGCTACAGTCGTCAGAACTCCTTCGACTCCATATTTTGATGCCATCGATGATGCTATGAAATTTGTCCCAATCAACAGGTCTTTCGCCGAAAACCTATAGCTGGATATCGTGAAGCTAATTCGCTTCTAAGTCAAGGAAAACGTAGCTGCCGACTTTTTTCATGCTAACATCGCTTAACTACATTCTAGCCATGATTTGCTGTCACTTTCACGTAATACAAGAAACCACTCATAATACAAAAAAAAAAAAAAATCAAAAGTTCAAACGTACGTGAAAAGAGGCAAAGAAATTTTGTAAAATCGCCTCTTCTCCTCTTGGTTGTCATAATGCCGAAAAACGATGCTCAACTGGAAAAAAAAACCCCATTATGATAAGTACAGTTGTGAATAAGTACAGGAATTGAAGATTTTACGAGTTTTTCTTACATTTTTTAGTTAAAAATTATATTACTACCTGACATCACACATGGAAAGAACGCGTGTACACGCACGAAATGCCAAAATAGATTGGGAAATGCATATTTTCATCGTGCACCAATCGCCTTTTAAATGCAGCTACGCTAAATTTCCGGAAACCAGTACGGCGGCCGCTCACGTATATTCTTCACAATAATGCTCACTGGCCATTCCCTCCCCCCTCCCCCTCTTCGACCAAATCCGCATTTTCGCTAGATGCAATACCAGCTTTATATTGCCGAGAGAGCTGACAATTTATGTAGCATGAGGTTTTGCAGATGAAGTAATTTTAACTGTCAGCGAAATCTCGAAATAGCCTTGCCAAGTGCTGCTGTTGTGAGAACTGACAATCTAGTGATCGCTACAGGAAATAAAACGAACGTCAGAATCGCTAGCAAACTCACCACTGGGCGATGCAGTAATGGTCAAAGGAGCTAAAAAATTAGCTAGCTGCGCAGCTCCAGAACTGTCTATGAAATAAAAAATATCAGTGCTACTTTTATAATTAAGAGATCCCGAAAATCCAATTGTAACTGAAGCAGCGGTGGAATAATTCTCTTCTGATGCGCAGTAAAACTCGCATGCCCAAAAAAAAAAAAAAAAAAAAAAC